TTAGAATTTAACTCACGTCAGAGGGTAAGTCTGTCTCCAGACTAAAAACCCAGACAAATTGAAAACCCAATTCTGTGTTATACAGACACTATTTCCAGGGATCCCTGGACCAGGGGCCGGCAGCATTTCTCTGACCTTGGGGTGCATTCCTGTGGCCTGGTGGCAGTGCTGATGACCTGTGTGGCTTTGCCTCCACCTTGTATCCTGCAGTTGTGGGCATCTGTACCTATGGAGGGAAGATTCGGGTTAAGAGATGGGGGTGACACGACCCATCTGTAGGACTGAGGCCCACACTACAATCTGTCACTAAGGAAAAATGCGTAACAGTACCAAGTACAGAGCCATATATGAACCTGTAGTTAGGACTTGTTCAGGTCAGGAGAACACTTTTAGCTCAGAAGGATGGGCCTGGGTAGTGAGAGAGGTGTTACCAGGAGGCATCTGATGTCTAGGCATCATGCTCAGAGGCCCTAGGGTTGGGTAATTATACAGTAGAAGGAGCCTGTGCTTCTAGACACAGCCTGGACTGCGTGGGACATCCTGAGGTGTGGGTGCAGGGCCTGTGGTGTCTTTGACTCCCCAGGACTGCCCAACTTGTTGCCCCTACTCCTGGCCTCGGAAGAGTGGGCAGAGCCTTAAGATCCTGGCCTGGCCTTTCTGTCAAGGTAGCCCATTGGCTTGCTTTCCAACTCCATGATGGGAACCTGCCCACTTGTTCCTTCCTGGCTTTCGCTGAACTCGAGTTCATTAGGTTTGCCAGGCTGGGGCTCCCTAGGTTATGAGGGGCTGTCCTAAGATTGTCTGAAACCAGGGAACATCAGGATCTTGGAGGTGAGGCTGGCTCTGTTTCCTTGTCCCCTCCGTGACTCCTGTCATGTGGGACTCTTCACCATTCAGAGCTAGGCCTGGGTTGCTTGCTGGAAAGGGGCTGGTGGAAGATGGAGGAGCAGTAAGGGTGACTCAGGCTCCTTGCTGGGCTCTCTCTCTGTCTAGCTGTTTGCTGGGGTGGGGACATTTTGGCCGACTATGCTGCTTTGCTGAGGGTCAGAATTAAGGACCATGGTGCCACCTGCCTTCTCATTGGAGACAATGATGGAGAATTGTCTTCCAAATTCTTTGTAGGAAAAGTCACAAACTCAAACACAAAGCAAATACACATCTGAATAAGGAGTGCTAAGAGCTTCTCAGATATTATATTTTCCTCCCTTCTTGTTCAGAAGCCTGCACCTTGCCTATAAGCAGCAGGTGATAAGTAATCGGTTGATTAATCCCATCTGGAAGCTTACTCTGGGGGTGGAGGGCACCTGAGGCTCCTCAGGAGCTGTTCTGCTGTCCTGCAGCTCCGGCCACATAGCAGGTGTCGGAACAATTGGACTGTGTACGATGGACCTGCTCTCATCTAGAGCCTTGTGGGGGAGGGGCATCTCTTCCTAATGCCCAGTATCCTGCTGACCAACCAAAATGTTTTTTTTCTTGACTGAAATGGTTTTTCTTTCTTGCCTGGACAACTGGGAGTTGGATGGGCTGTTGGCTTCCCACATTCCTCTGTGAGCGGAGCGGAACGTGGGCTGTGTGAGGTGACTCACCTTTTCTCTGGCACAGCCTCACTCCCATATGTTTAAATCTCCCCAAGAACTTTGAGGCCTCATTTTTTTTTTTGAGGATTACTAAGGGCCTTTCTACACACACACACACACACACACACATCAAAAAACAAAAAAACAAAAAAAAACCCTCACTTGTCCTAGTTTAAGAGCTGAACCTGTTAAAGGGCCTGAGGACCAGATGGGCAGGGACTTCCTGTTCTGAGCTGTGACTTGGACCCAGACCTAAGAGGGGCCAGTGTACCCATCCTTCCCTTCTGGACCACACATGTTTAGCCAGCTGCACATTTCCTTTGAATGGTGATTTAACTCTGGCCTTTGTCAAGGGTGGGAGGGGAAGAAGGAAGCCACCCAAGAGAAGATGGAAGAGCACCTGCTCCCTGGAGCCTCAGGCCTCCTGTAGCACATGGGGCTGGACCTGGTTTCCACAGGTCACTTGCTTCCTTATACACTTCTAAGACCCAGGTGACTCACAGATATACATCCTTGTTAAATGTTTCCATGTAGTACTATGGTCTGTGTTGCTGGGGTCTGGTTGCTTATGGTAAGGGGCTTCCCCATAGTCCCCTGGGGACACTGGACTGTGGCCACTCCAGGTTTGTGTAGGTGTTTCCCACTATGTGGCGTTGGAGCTCAGTCTCCCCTGATGGTGCTTTGTGTAATTTGGGGAGCAACAGGGCACAGGGCTCTCTGTCTATAAGTGGCACCGGAAGGCAGAGGACCACGTGTCCCAGCTAGCCTTGTTTCTCACATGTTGTGGTGTCTCTGGAGGCCCAAGTGGCTGTTCTGGTCCCCAAGATCCTGTTCAGCCCTTGCTCTAGGATTCATAATTTAATGTCTTCATGACACTGAGGCTGTGGTCAGGATTACTCTGGAAAGCCACCCTTCTCCATGAAGGAGTATGGAGTGTTATAAATCAGCTGGCTAGGTCCTTCTGCTCTGCCTGAATCCTCAGTCCTGTTACCATGCCTAGGGGATGGACTGGCATACCTAGAGGCTCACAGCTCACAGGGCCTGAGAATCAGGGGCCTGTTGTTTCAACTTTAGAAGTCAGAGGCTCACGGCTCCCAGTTCTCAACTTAGAGGTTTATTGCTTTGGACTTTAACCACCAGCGACCCCAGCACCTGACAGCCGCTATACTAATCCTCAGCTTCCAGCAGCAGTGAGCAGCAGCAGCAGCAGGTGGAGCCTGCCAGTGTTGCAGTTCCTGAATGGACCGTGGGTGCTGGGACCCTCAGCTCCCCAGTGCCTAGTGTTACAGCTCTTGGGCCTAGGGTATCTGGGCTTCCTGACCCTTTGTGTTACCAACTGAGCTCTACTAATGATAGAAGTGGGAAAAAAAACCCACTGGAGAAAAGCCTTTCATTGGACTTAATGTCTAATACCAGCAGAAGGCAGGAGGTTATCTCCTAGCCCATTCACAAAGGGAGCTGAGTAGCTGCTTATGTAGTCAAAAGGAGGTATGGCAAGGCCTGCATCATTCATAGCAGTTGTTAGCCTTGCTTGGATTGATGTCCCTTAGAGATCAGAGACCCCATCCACCTCTCTGTGAGTTTCCATTTCCACAATAATTCACATGAACATTCTGCCTGGGTGGGATCCAGAGTCAACAGACAAACAGTTGGTGTGCTGTGATGCCTTGCTCTAGTGGAGTGAGGCAGATCATACATTCATAAGCAGCAGCAAGAAGGCTCTTTTAGGCAGGGTTGTCAGGTAACGGAGGCAGGGTAGAGCTACTATGTGATGCTCTGAGATGAAGGAAGGTGGCTCTGCAGTGGATTTGTAGGGCACCCACTGTCCCATCTTAATGCAGACACTTCTGGCTATTGAGGAAGAAAGTGCTCCTGTGTCCTGTCTACTGGAGGGTAGTGTGACTTGCCTGATGGCCTGTCAGTGTGTAAAGACGGAAGGGTTTCCCTGAGCAGTAAAGGCTCAGGACCAACAGCATTGACAGGTCAGAGGATGGAAGGAAGAATAACAGGCAGCTGAGTGAGAGCTTCTTGACTGGATTGTGAATGAGCTAGACATTGGGCAATACGTGCCTAGAGGCAAGCTGACTGTGAGTGCCTCAGTTTCCCTGTGGAGATAGGCTTATCCTGGCTCTTGGGCATGGTCTCTAGGGAAGCCAGCCTTTGTCTGGACCAAGCTACAGCTACAGAGCACCTGAGCTAGCCTCTAGAGAAGCCCAGGAGAGACGAGAACTCCATTTAGGTATCTTGGCTTCTGTCCATCACTCATCCCTTCACTTAATCACCAAACGAACACTCCAGAAAGCTCCGTTGTATGCCAGACACTACAGGCACTAGGGCACAGCCATGAGGGACACAAAGGCTCGACACTCATTCCCTACATTCTGTAGGGAAGAGAACAGACAAACAAGAAAATATGTAGCTTGCCTCATGGGGACAAACTTTATGAAAATGAATGAGAGAGATGGGGACATGGAGGACAGGGTAGTGCTTCTTTGAGTGGGCTGGGGTAACTCAAAGGAATTTTCATTTGAGCAGAGGCCTGGCAAGGGAACGAGGAGGGAGCCCTGTGGTCGATTTAACTGAAGAATGTTCTAAATGAAGGACTTAGTAGGTACAAAGGCTCTGGGATGGGGAGCATGGGATTTTGGGCTACTGTGGACTGAGGAGAGAATGGTATGGGATGGGCTGATAGTGTGGCTCTGACTGTGACAGGTACACAGGTAGGAAGTCAGTGGTCTTGTTCAGCACCCTGGATACTCAGGATGTGAGAGATCTTTAAAAAAATTATGCAGCTAGAGAGATGGCTCAGCATTTTTTTTTTTTGCTCTTGCAGAGGATCCAAGTTTGGTTTCTAGCACCCGTGTCAGGTAGCTCACAACTGTCTGTAACCCCAGCTCTAGGGGATCTGATGCCCTCTTCTGGCTTCCATGGGAACCTGCACATACATATGCATACATACACATAATTAAAGATATTTTAAATTCTTTCAAAAGTTAACTAATTAAAAAATTAGTTTTTTGTGTATCTATTTGTGTGTATTATGAATTCAGGCACACATGTTCCTATGAGTGGGTAAGAAACTACTTTCAGGAGTCAGTTCTGGCCTTCTACCTGTTGAGGCAGGGTCTGTCATTATTCTGGAGTTATGCAACATGCCCCAGGATAGATGACCCACAAGCTTCCATCCAGCTCTTTTGTCTTCATCTCTCATCTCGCCATCAGAGTGTTGCAATTACAGATATGCACCACCACATCTGGGTTTTTAATGTGGGTTCTAGGGATTGCATTCAGGCTTTCTTAGCAAGTGTTTTTACTTGCTGAGCCATTTCCCCAGCCCCTGTGAGGAATCTTGTTCCTACTTCAGGGCTGGGCACTTGGCTTTTCCAGCTGTATCACAGATGCATCCGTTTTCTTTCATTTCAGACTCATAAGCAATACATCGATGCCACTAATGAGAGCAACCACGTCTTCCTGCATTGTGCCTTCCTGGACTTCAGGTACTGTCAGTTGGGGACTTCAAGGTGGAACAAGGAACAGGAAGGATTTGAGGTGCCAGATGGTTCCAGGTGACCAGCCCAGGCTGGTCTCACCACTGGGGACAAGGTCTTACTTATCTATTATCTATTTATGAGACCATGGTTGCATGATTGTACTTACTGTAGACACTCAGCATGTGGGGTAGGATCCCACTGGGTGTGATCAGCAGCTTCATGAATTTGCTAGGACAAAGGCTTATAAAACCCTTGAAACCAATTCATCAGGAGCATTGTGGGGTCAGATGGAGATGCCATCCCTCTGTATTCTGTCATGATAATGTTGAGAAGGGAGACCTTGAGAAACAACATTCAGTTGCTGGCAAGTCAAAATCTTAATGTTTGGGGGAGTGGAGACATGGTTCAGTGGTTAAGAGCACTGGCTGCTCTTGGGTTCACTTCCTAGCATCAGCAACCATCCATAACTCCAGTTCCAAGGGATCAGACACCCTCTTCTGACCTCTGTGGGCATTGCATGACATGGGTGCACTTACATAAATACAGTCAATACACTCATACACATAAATTAAAAAAATAATAAATAAAAATATTTTAATAAATCTTAATGTTTGGGCCAGTGAAATGGCTCAGTATATAAAGGTAATTGCTTCTAAGCCTGATGACCTGAGTTCAATCCCTGGGACCCACATGATGGACAGAAAGAACTGACTCTTGAGAGGTGTCCTCTGAACTTGGCAAGGGCACACCAGACCCCCCCCACAGTAAATAAACAAATAATAAATAAATGTAATTTTAAAAACCTTAGATTTGCTATTTAGTGTTGGGGTTAATGACCAGAACCAATATTCAGGAACTCAGACTAGAGAGATGGCTCTGAGGTTAAGAACACTGACAGCTCTTGCAGAGGACACAGGTCTGGTTCCTAGCCCCTGCATAGCAGCTAACAACCATCCCTAATTCCAGTTTCAGATCTGATGCCCTCCTCTGGCCTCTGCAGGCATTACACACAGAGGTGCACTTAACAAACATGCATGCAAAACATTCATACACACAAAATAAAAATAAATTTAAAAAAAATTCAGGAACTCAAACAGCTCAGTAGCCAGAGACCCAGAGACCCAGATGGGTGGCAGACCTGAATAGATAAGTGGCAAAAAGAAGACAGAAAAAGCAACTCAAGATCACAATCATCAGGGAAAATGCACATAAGACCACAGCAAGAAAGATCCCCACTGCAGTAGGAATGGCTGTGATTCAAAGGATGAGATTTGGGGGCCAGGACCTCAGGAGTGATGGCCATGATGCAGGAGCCTGAGATAAAAGTGGGTGGTAAGCCACACACACACACACACACACACACACACACACACACACAAAGAATTTCTTTTTATTCTTTGTTACCAAATAAGTCATTTGACTCTTTAATTAAAAAAAAAAAAAGTAAAAGGCAGCAAGTACTGGCAAGGACGTGGACAAAAGGGGGAGTCTGGATTAGCACAACCATTGTGGAAATCAGTATGGCGATTTCTCAAGAAAAGGAAACAAGACCTCTCTCTGCTCCATTAAGCCTACTTGGTATACGTCCAAATAATTGCATCAGCACATTGAAGAGAATGTTTTCACGGCATTTTTCACAACAAGATATGGGATCAGTCTAAGTTAATATACATGCACAGTAGAATCCTGTTCAGCCCTAGCTCCCAGAGACAGACATACCACAAGCATCCTGCCTAACCACTTTTCAAATGATTATTAATATGCAATGGATATTCATGAGAATTCAGTTTTGCTTATACAGTTTTGATAAATGAATATAGTTGTGCAATGACCATGACTGAGATCTAGAACAATGCCATCAGCCCTAAAGATCCCCATGTCCCACTTACATCTCATGAAGCTTCTGATTTGTCCTCTGCCCTGAGAATGAGCAACCTTTGAATAGGTAACCTTTGTACCCAGCTTCTGTAGTTAGAATGTCTATTTAGCATAAGCATGGACAGTTAAATGAGCTGTGAGGCAGGACTCTCTTGTACCATGTCCCATGGTGGATGTGATCTCTAGGACTCCATTATACTGTGTCCTGTGGTGGATCTGGTCTCTAGGACTCCATTATACCACGACCCATAGTGGGTCTGGTCTCTAGTGTTCCATTTTGCCATGTCCTATGGCATGATCTCTGGCTGAGAAACATTTTGGTTGTTCACCACTTTAGGTAATTGTGAAGAAAACCTTATATTATCCCTTTTATACACTGCTGCATTTTCTTGCAGGAATAGTTGAGGATTTTTATTCATGAAGTAAATTGGTCTGTAGTATACTGTTTAGGTAATCTTTTGTTTTGTAAATGATATATTTTGGAACGAATTTTGCAGTTATTTTTATAAAACTGAGATTGTTTCTTCCATTCATAGTTTAGCAGAATTCACCGGCACATCCATCTGGGCCTTCATTTTCATTGTTGTCAGGTTTTTTTAAAAAACTGTGTGTTCAGTTCTTTTTATGGATACAGGACTGCTTATGTCATCGATTTCTTTTAGTTTTGGTGTCTTAGTTTGCTTTCTTTTGCTGTGATAAAACACTGACCAATAACAGTTTGGGGAGGAAGGTCTTTATCTGGCTTATAACTCATATCATCAAGGGAAGCCAAGGCAGGAATTCTGGAGGTGGGACCTGAAGCAGAGACCGTGGAGGAGCACTACTTACTGGCTTGCTTCCTCTGGCTTCCCACCTGCCTAGGGATGGTACTACCCACAGTGGGTGGGCCCTCCTTCATCAATTGTAATCAAGAAAATGCTTCCACAGACATGCCTATAGGCCAATCCAATGAAGGAAATTCCTCAATTGAGTTTCCCTCTTCCCAGGTGACTCTAGTTTATGTTGTCAAGTTAACAAAGACTAACCAGCCTGCTCCTTTAGCCTGCTATTCATGTCTGTAGTGTTTGTGGTGACGTCCGTATTGCATTTTTAAAAATTTTATGTGTATGAGTGTATTGCCTGCATGTATGTGAGTGCACCTGTGTCGTGCAGTGCCGCGGAGGTCAGAAGAGGGCTTCCGATTCCCCTGAAATTGGAGTTAAGGATGGTTCTGGGTGCTGGGAATCGAACCCAGGTCATCTACAAGAACAGTCAGTGCTCTTAACTGCGGAGCCTTCCCTCCAGCCCCCCCCCCGCATTGCATTTTTACATATAAAATCTGTCTTCTTTTTTTTCTTATTTATTCTTCTCAGCATTTTGTCAGTTTATTTTTTCAAAGAAACAACTTTTGGTTTTTGAATTTGTTCTCTACTAGTGTTTCTGCTGGTTGAGTTCATTGAGTCATTCTCTTTGTCTATTTTCAAAGCGGAAGTAATTTGCCTCCAGAAGGTTTGTCTTGGGTTTAATTTGATCGCCACTTAAAATTTTCTTACTATAAAGGTTTGGATAATTAATATGAGATATTTTTATTTTCTAATACAGTTAGTGCTATACATTTTCCTGTAAGCACTGACTTAGTTCTGTCCCTCAAAATTTGATGTTTCTATTTTCATTAAATTAAAAATATTTTAAAATTTCCCTGTGACTACCTCTTCTATGTAATTGTGTATGCGTGTGTGTGTGTGTGTGTGTGTGTGTGTGTGTGTGCGCATGCAGAAATCAGAGGACAACTCTCAGAAGTTGGTCCTCTTTTTCTACCATGTGGGTCCCAGGAATTGAACTCAGATAATCAGGCTTGAAAGCAAGTATCTTAACATGCTTAGCCATCTCTCCAGACCCTATATTTCATTTTGAAGGGAGTTACTTAATGTCTAGATATCTCTCTGATACTGATTTCTAATTAAATGTTTTGTGATCTAAAATTTCCTTTAACCTCAGTTTTTAAAAGTATGTTTAAAGTAGCTTATACAACCCATAATATGTACAATCTTGGCAAGTACTTTGGTGCACTTGGAGAACACTGCATTTTTTTCCCTGAGTTTCTATAAATATCAATGAGGTCAGGTTAACTGGTAGTTATGTCCAGGTCTTCTTGAACCTTACTAATTTTTTGTCAACTTTTTCTAGCAATCATAGTCAGTTTTCTGTACCCATGAGTTTTGTATGGATAGTCAACCAATCATGGACTTAAAATGTTAGGGGGCAAAATTACATCTAGCCTAATTACTGAGCTCCATGCCAGTGAGAGACACTGTCTAAACAAACAAAACACAAAGCATGTGAAGATTTCTTTCCTGTCATTATTCCTTAAGCAATGCAGTGTAACAACTCCCTGCATACCATTCACATTGAAATCAAGATTATAGGTTATCTAAAGATTAAAGTATGTAAGAGAATGTAAGTTCTATGCAAACATCATACCACTTGATATATTTGAGCATCCATAGAGTTTAGTATCTGTGATGGGTCCTGGAATCAATAAAGGAATGAGAAGCAGGCCAGTAATTCCAGCTACCTGGGGTGCTGCTGTAGGAGAACTGCAAGATCAAAGTCTTCCTTAGCTACAGAGCAAGTTTAAGGCCAGCTTAGGCAACTTTAGTGAGACCTTGTCTCAAAATGAAAAATAAAAAGGGGAATGGGGATGTGGCTCAGTGGTAAAACACTTGCCTAGTATGAATGAAACTCTGGTCTGAGGGCAGGAGGGAGGAGGGAGGGAGGGAGGGAATGAGAGAGGGAAGGAGAGAGGGAGGGAGAGACCTGAGAAAGGAGCATGCAATGAGAGCAAATGTGTGGATTCTCCATTGATGGTGAACTCCTCCCTCTCCTTTAAGTCTGAAGCTTTTCTTTAGTGTGTTTTGAAGTTCTGTTATCGGGAGCACAGATGGTTAGTGTTGGTAGGTCTAGGAAAATTGCTCTTGTCTATGTAACACCCTTCATCCTGGGAAATGGAATTGTCCCGAGGTCCCCATGGTCTCATTATATGCTCTGCCCTGTTTATTAATGTTTGCCTGCTGAATCTTCACCATCATTTTTCTTTTATACTGTTTTTATTAAAAGCAGGCTTTTAAGACCATGTATGGCTAGATCCTGTGTTTTACCAAAGCTTAACATTTCTGTCTTTCATTGACTTATTCAGACACTTACCGTTCGTGTCCTTGCTGACCTGGTTGGATGAAAGTTCACTGTTTCCACAGACCTGTTTTAGTTTGCTGCTTTTTCTTTGTTTTTTGAGTTATTGCTTTCTGACTTCACTTGGATCTTGAAGATTCTTTTTTGATGCTATATTATTTCCACTACTGACTTTTAATTTATATCTTCTTTTAATTTCTTGTGGCATGTTTAATTCATCGGCATCTACCTTCAGTAAGTATTGTCTCTCCTCAAAACCATTCTAAGGTGTAAATACTTCTGAGGTTCCTCCCGCCGGTACCCAGTGCTGTTGTTGTCTGTAGCTCTTCACAGGTGACATACACCCTCGGCACACACACAGTGACACTGCAGTGTTTCTGCCCCAGATAATCAGTTATCTTGTTGAGCAGTTAAAGACAAGACCAAGATCATGACCAGGGCACTGGCATGCACTTATCCCACCCCCAGCTATTTTTATGTCTTTGTGTAGAGCCACGTTTCTGTCTGGCGTCGTGTTCCTTTAACCTTTCTTGTAGTGCAAATCTGCTAGAAGTAAATTCAGTTATTGTTTCTGTGAGAAATAGGTCACTTTCATTTTTCAAAGGTATTTTCACTTAGCTTAAAATTGTGGGCCACTTTTTTAAATGTAATTTTAATTTTTCCTATTTAAAAATTATATTTGGCTTACTGTTTATTTCTGTGTATGTATGTGTGGGTGGTTGGATGTGTGAGTGCCACGGTATGTTGAGGGAGATAAGAGGACAATCTTTGGGAGTTGACTCTCTTCTTCTACCAAGCTGGTCTTGAGGATCAAACTCAAGTCCTTAGGCAGCTGAGATTTTACCTGCTGACCCATCACCCATCTCACCAGCCACATGGGCCTTTTTTTTTTGGAGAGGATTTATATTCTTAAGAGATTATACAATCACTCTCTTTACATGTATATTAATATTTATTTTTTGTGGTATTCAGGATAGGACCCAGGGCATGCCAGATAAGTATGCTATTACTAAGCTACGTAACAAGCCCCAAATATATTCACATCTCTCGTTTATGTTTATTTTTTGTTTGAGACAGGTCTCACTGTGTAGCCCAGGCTGGCCTGGAGCTCACTGTGTAACCTAGGCTGGCCTTGAACTCACAGCAAACCTCCTGCCTCAGGCTCCCAAGTGCTAAGATTCCAGGCATGAATCACCACGTTCATCTTCAATATATTCTTCTATTTTTAAAAAATATTTTCTTTATTATTTTTGTTTTATGTGTATGAGTGTATTGCTGGAATGTATGTAAGTGCACCCATGTCATGCAGTGCCCTTGGAGGTCAGGACAGGGCGTTGGATCTCCTGGAACCAGAGTTACAGACAGTTGTTAACTACCATGTGGGTGCTGGGAACTGAACCCGGGTCCTCTGCAAGAGCAGCCAGTGCTCTTAATTGCTGAGCCAACTTGCCGGCTCCATATTCTTCCATTTTTTTAAAGAAACATTATTTTAAAAAAGAAAACACCTCTTTTGTCTTTTACATCTCATCCTGAGTTTGTGTGCATGTCTTTAAACAATTTATGTATCATTTATACTTATATTCATGGGAAATATATGGTAGTGTTCAGGTTAAGTTTCTTGTGCCTTTCTACCCCATTTTATTTTGTTTCTGCCTCTACAGGTTCTTGTTTCTTTGACTATATTTATATACATCACATTTTATTTATGCACCTGAGTGACCATATTTCTGCCTCCATGTGGACATCCCAGGTCATATAGGCTGTGCGTATTTTTAACACTATCCGATATTGCTGAGCTATCTTCCCTGAGATTTATTTATGCACAGCTAGGAGCTGCCTTCTTGTTTCCACGCAGAGGTGACACCAGTCAGAGCTCAGCTCCCTTGCGCTGATCAGGGCAGCGTCACACCTTCATGGCTCCATTTCAGGACACGACTTTCATGGTTTTCCTGAACACCCTTCACCAGAGCTGAGGATAGTGTCCACCCTTGTGACTGTGCCCACCCCATTCAGTGCCTGTTAATTCTCAGGTCACCTCAGATGGAAGTGTGACATCTTTGCATTCAGTAGACAGACAAAGGAGCTGTGTAGAACACAATAGTCTGTGTAGCACCCCCCTCCCCAAGTCCTGGGAAAGTTAGACACAAACGTGGGGTTGGGGAGGGGCACAGGACCAGTCTCTTGTCTCTTGTATTCTGCAAGATGGTGTCTGGCTCCTTTAAGGAGGCCTGGGATTTGCTCCCTGATGGGTGCCTCCGACCTCCCTCAGAGGTGGCTCATTCATTCTGAAAAACCACTAAGGAAGCCACTGTCCTCAAATCTGTCACTAGGCACAGTGCCTACCCACCCTGAGCCTCCTTTCCCACACTCTCAGGCCCTGCAACTACCGCAACTTGGGTACCTTGTCCATGGGTATTGTCAGGGGTGCAGGATGGGGGCCTGGATTACCCCACCCAGGCAGTCACCCAGGCAGCCACATACCCTTGGCGAGCCCATAGTAGAGGGGACTATAGCTGAAAACACAAAAAATACAGCCAGAGCCTGGCAGCTGTTTCAGCCCTGTGAATAAAGCAAAGTTTTGTGTTTGCTGATTACTGAAGTTGTACCTTTTGAGAAGAAACATATCAGAAACCTTTTTGGCATTTGAAAATACAGAAAATATACACAGAAATACAGAAATTTGAAAATACACACAGAAATGACAGAGGCTGATATGGGCACTGCAAGGGTTAACTGGATAGCATTAGGCGTATTGCTTCAAGTAATTTTAGCTGCCACATAGCAATTACAGATTAGAACCTTATAGAGAAGCAAACATCCTATTTGTCTCTATACCCTCCCTGACCACCTCCCTGCTCTAGAGGCCACTGTGGGAGTTTGTGAGTTTCCTCATTGATTTACATTAATGAATATGTGCATTCCCAGAAATGTGTAGATGTTGCCTCCTTCACATCCCTGGCACTGTTATGATGCCCTGTGTGTTATGTTTATGTGTTTTATCTGTAATGATACACATTAGTTAAGGATTTTAAAAAATAGATTTGGGGGGGACTGGAAAGATGGCAGAGCAGTTAAGAGCTTTTGCTGCTCTTGCAAAGGACCTGAGTTCCCAGCACCCATGTTGGGCAGCTCACAACCCCCTATAATTCCAGCTGCAGGGGATCTGACACCCTCCTCTGGCTTCCTCTCATGTGCACCTACTCCCACACAGACACACATACACATAATTAAAAATACATAAAATCTCTAAATTTTGAAGTGACAACTTGTGTGCATGTGTATGCATATGTATGGTGTATGTGCATGTGTGTGTGGTTGCATGTCCCTGTGTACACTCGGAGGCCAGAAGAGAGCATCAGATGTCCTCCATCCTTCTCCACCTTATTCTTTTTGAGTCAGGGTCTCTCTCTCTGAACTTGGAGCTTGCATTTTTCAGCCAGATTGGCAGCCAGTAAGCCCCAGCAATCCTCCTCCCTCTCCCCGACCCCAATATTGGGGTTATGGGAACACACAAGACCAGATCCAGTCCTTACATACATGGGTGCTAGGATATAAACTCAGGTCATCACAGGTGTATAGCAACTACCATTAACCACTGAGTCATCCCCTGAGTCACAAAGGATGCTTTTTAAAGTGATATGCAGGCGTTTCATGTTTATATATACCATGTTATATAGTACTTGTATGCACTTAACTTTGTAATTTATCATATTTGTTTTACCTTATTTATAAAAAAAACAAAACCTTAAGGTTTTGTATCAGTCCCCTAGATGGGCACCCAAGAACTGTAATGTGCTTTTCTCTGAGTATTGAGTCTCTCAAGCTGGACTGTAGGCCACACACATTTCACCCCAATCTGAGGAATGTCCAGCTGTTTTCCCAGGGGACCAAACTGGGGTGATAGCCCTCCATCCCAGAGAAACCCTTGCTTCCTGTGGCATCACCAATGCCATCCACTTTCCAGTTCTAATACCCAAGAGTAGTTTGCACCCTAGCATCAAGGTGAACCAGTGAGTTCTTGGGCCCATGGAACCGAAGTGCACCACTGCCTCTGCTGATCATGTCTTTCCACTGTGTCCTCAGCTCCGGGGAAGGCATCTGGTCGAGCCAGGGCTGTGCACTAACAGAGGGCAACCTCACCCACTCGGTGTGCCGCTGTACACACCTCACCAACTTTGCCATCCTCATGCAAGTGGTCCCGCTGGAGGTGAGTGCCTTGCAGATGCCTCATGGGCTCTGGGACAACATGGTGTTCCTGTTCACAGTGGTCTCCAGGTAGTACTAGCTGCTACCACGCTTGGCACAGACCAAGACATCTGTAAGGTTATCTTCTGTCAGGGAGATGGCTGTACCCATTGTTACCACATTTGAAGGGCTAAGTTGATACACAGAGGAACCCACCTTGGTTAGGGGAACAGAAGAGGACATGGGAGATGGGCCACATGCCTGGAGGTGAGGTCAGTAGGAAGCTCTGAGCTGCCCTGAGAAGATGTTTCTGGGATGTAGAGAATGAACCATGGCTTCCAACAACCACAAACTAAGAGCCAGCAGAAAGTGAACTGTCTAGCAGCATTGCCTTCAAGGGCACTTCTTGGGGGGTAATCCATCAAGTGGGCACCAGGGTCACTGGCTTCTAGGATCCGTATACTGAGTTACTCACAGTGAAGCTCTAGGTGTGCCGCCTTCAGTCTTAGTGCAGGAGGGAGGGACTCTGCTCATCACAGGCAAGGACGTTTGGGGATATTCCATGTCACCCAAGGTAGAGCCGCCTCCTCTGAGCCCACCACATGCTGAACCACTGAACCAAGGATGGTCTGCTTTTTCTTGGCCTAGCCAAGAGTCTGCTAGCCAATGAGAGTTGCAAGGGGCACACTTGCCAGGGATTTGCTGTGTGCCTCACACTTTCCCCAAGGGAGGAGAGGTAAAGGCCCAATCTACACAGTAAAACAATAAATGACAATCCAGAAGCATTTATATTATAAATCTGTCACCAGTCAGTATCAGTGACACCAGATTTAGACAGTCTGTGGGTGTCTTCGTGGGAGCAAATCATATCTATTCATTGCTAGGAAAGGTTGATTTGAAAATGGTTTAAAATTATCCCTGCTAAAAAGGAACATTCTCATGAACATTAAGGAAATTAAGGCAGATTTTGTAAGTGATGCCAAATCCAGGGCACACTTTCAGAATCCACAAGGTAGCAAGAACAACCACATTCCCTCAATGCCAAGCTGGCTTCTTCGTTGGAACCCAAGCTCACCCTGATGGTTTTGGGTTTGTCCTTTAGGTTTATGCTCAGACACTCTTGTTCCATCATGCCTCCTCATCCCCCTTGCTCTCTGAGGTCTCTCTTGGCCTCCTCCTATTTTGGTTTCCTCCTTAGAGCTCACTTCTGGAGGCCTCTGTTTTCTTGGGTGAGGGAGTAGGATCTTTCTGGACAATCCCCGCTGACAGTGAGGAGTACCTTAGTGGTTACTTAGACTGGTAGACCAATGCTAGAAGGATACTCTAGGATATACCCCAGGATGGTGTCCTAGGAGACTCCAGGATAATATCCCAGGAGACCCCAGGATGATGTTCCACGAAACTTCAGAATGCCCCAGAAAACCCCAGAATAATATCCCAGGAGACCCAGGAGATCCCAGGATGGTATCCCAGAGACTCCAGGTCTAAACCCCAACAGATCCCTCTGGTTATGTTTCTGGTTACAAAAAAATAAAGAGTTGTATATTGGGCCATGATCATAAAGAAGGTGCAGAGTAAGTGTGCTTGGCTGTAACATGAGACAGGAGTGCCAGGTAGGAGGGTAGGGATGGGTGAGGTAACTTAGCCCACACCATAAAATGAATAAATGAATTGCTCAACACCAAGACCAGCACCCAGGTGTGGTGCCCTGCTGAGCTCATCCTGAGAGCCTGACGCAAGACACCTGCCTTGTGTCTGCTATAGATCGGCTATAGGAAGTAGGCAGAGGGAATGAGTCACTGCAGCTTAGCCAAAGGTTCTGCCCTGCATCCACACATACAGAAGTGTGTGTGTGTGTGTGTGTGTGTGTGTGTGTGTGTGTGCAAGTACAGGAGGGCAAGAGCCAGAGCTCTCATCCTATCTTAAGGATGGACCACCAGGGAGGAGAGGAATCAAGGAACCTGGGACATTTGGGCTGCTGCTGTGGCTGGCCCCACCAGGACCAAAGTGAGGAGGAAAGCCTTGGGTGTGTCCATTCAATCCTTTGGTTGAAAGGAAGGTAACGGCAACTGACTTAGAAAAGAAATCTACAGAAAGGCAGTGGGGATAATCAGAATCTGGAGCAGGGAGAGAGGCTTGACTGTGGGTGACACTAAAGTCTCTGTTCTGTGTTCCCCACTGAGTTTCCAAGGTAGAAAGCCTTCTGTTTGAATGACTGGTGCCACCAAGACTGCAACCTGGGTGGGAGGCACCCAAAGAGATGGTGGTGGGCACAGCCCTGGGCTGACAGAGGTCACCACATAGTTTTCATCCTGCCCCAGGTATGGGGATCATCCAGGAGGCCACTTTGCTGGCCTCACCCCAAGCTCCTCCCAAGCTTCCCAGCC